CACAAGGTTAGCAAATGTTTGTCAGGATCCACTGAAAGAACTATATATAACCTGCACTATCTTCCTTATTCTACAACAAAGCTTTCTGAAGAGGCGTGCAGAACCAGCTAACTTTCTTGTGTACTGGAACAAACAATTATGCTTTCTACATACACAAGGAACAGTATTTTGCTTCTTTGCAGAAGTGCAAAAATAGACTCAAAGTGATCATTCAGGGAATTGCCTATGTGAAGGAGGCAACCTTCAAACTCATTTTTAGAAAACAAAAGCACGGCTGTGATTACTTTCCTCACATGGCAAGAATGACATACACTCTCTTTTATTTTCCTTCTACGTGTTCATTTTGGAATATAACTTTTCCCAGTTTAGCCTTTAACTGCTTCCTAAGTGACAAACGGTGTGTTATGGGGAAAATTCTCAGCCAGCTTCACTCTTCCTGGCTTATATTTACAGTCACACCTTACATTACCGAGTCTTGAGCAAGCATCAAGTGCCTGCAGAAATGCTGCTGATTCAGAACTCTTCACCTACAGTGAGACAGCCTGTTACACCCGCTTCAAACAGGGGTAGGTGGCCTAGCAAGACACACAGCAGGGTAACAGCAAAATTCTGTCATAATTCTTGTTATGGCTTTGGGAATTAACTTTTTTTTTTTTAAATTTAAGAGAACAAGACATTAAAAAGCCAAAAGCTCTTCTCTCACCCACAAGAAAAGACATTGAAATCATAGTGTTATTACTCGCTTGAATCAACCCTAATGTTCCAATATGTCCTTCCCTACCTGAAATGTCATCTATACTACATACTTTATAACTGAGCATAATGAGAGGAATTTTTGTACAGCATTAAAGAAAATGTGGCCAAGATTAAAAAGAAAGTGATGAAATTCTGATGTCCCTTCTCAAGCTGAGCACTGGCAAAATGCTGCAACTTCTGGGGACGTCACTCGTCCACCTAAATACCAGACTGTAGAGGTATGAATGATGATTGATGCTTCCTCACCAGCTTAAAAAGACTCTGGAGTGAGGATGTAATCAGAGGTTTCTGTGATGGAGCAAGTAAAAGTGACATAAAATACCTGAAGTCCCTCGGGCAAAAGAGAGAGGCAACAGCCAGATGCTGTACCCTCTGAAGGCAAACACAGGAGTATAACTAGTACTGAATGTAGAGTATGTTATTTTGTCCTTTCTTCCTTCCCATCACAATATTCTCCTCTGCCACAGGTATCCAGAGCTACAGGGGATTCAGGAAATTAAATATTTTATATTTAATAGTCTATATTTAATATTCTATATTCTATAACTGTTTCTGCTGAATGGATTATCTCCCCTACACAGTATAATGCACCTGAACTCCTGCACAGCACAGATGCTAAATGCCTGCTGGAAACTTGGAACAGAACAACATTGAAGGATAAACAGTTACCTTACCAGCTCTCATACCTGTTGCCGTTAGAATTATCAGTATCTTTGACTCTCAGACAATATTAAAAGCCATAAAATATTTGAGTGGAAAACTGAAGATCTAAATAAGCAAAGAAGAAAGCAAAACCACACAAGGAATTAGAAGTCAAAACAAGGCTGAGGTTGTTAAGCCTCTATTGAGGATGTAAAGTTTTTAGCCTTTCACCTTCTGAGTTTCTGGGTAATGGAATATTTTATAAAATGTAAATATACCTTGACAAGTGCATTTATATAGCTATTTATAAAGTTTAAAAACCAACCAAAAGCCATCCTTATAACAAATCAGATGGGCACAGTATTCTATTAATTCCATTACAGTCACATTATAAAACAAGTCACTTCTCCAAATGTATGAAAATAATATTCACACATTATGTGAAATGTGTGATACTTGGCTTTTTGGATTAAGAGATGTAAAATTATTTCAGTTGCATCTACTTACAAGTAATTCCTTTGTTTTTAAAAGCATATGCAAATAACAGAACACTTCATAGAGCTAACATTAATTTTCTTAGTTGAGAAAACTATTTGAAATAACTGGAAAGTTTAGTCCTTTGAAGAGATGACTAGTTTTACGATATGACTGAAATGTATGCTACAGGTTCTCTAATGAACAGAGAAATGAGTGTGGGCTATGAATTTTTTTTATGGATATCACATCTCTGTGAACACCAAAGACTGATAAACAATCTTTTATTTTCAATGACTTGCCCTATGTGTGTTTGCAGTGGGCGACCCAAGGAAGTAGCTTACGTGGAAGGGGGATCTTGGAGTTTCCTGGCAAACAGCATCTGTTGGACAAGTTTGCTAATTGTGGCATCACCCACAAACAGCTCTGTGATGCTGTAGGGTTTTGATGCCTATGATCTCTGGACAAGGAACCAACACGTCCTTGTGCATGCTTAGGATATTTCCAGCAAGCAGCCAGGTGATCTTGTCTGTTACAAGCAGCAGAGGAAAGACTCATGCTGGCCCCCAGGGAGAAAGGGAAGGAGTTACTGTAAGCCGCGAGTCACAATACCAGAAGAGGACCACATTTTGGGCACAGGCAGAAAAGTGATCTGTGAAATGAAAATAAACTGGATCAAACTGCTGCAGCTCTTATAGGACAGATCAACATTTTGTGCACTGATGTTGCAAGGGATTGCACTAATGGTAAGTCCAGCAGGACTGACTGACAGGAGTGTGAAGTCCTCTACCTCCATCTCCTCTGGGCATGACAGTTATTCAGCACCAGCTGGCAGGAACAAAGGAGGAGAACAGTGCTGAGAGATGGAAGAAAGGAACAAGATCCTGCAGTGTTCGTGGTCCTGCTCATCAAGCTGGAAGTGAGCTGGAAGAGTGTCAAGACCTCTGGTCCTTTAATTTCTTTGTTAGAACTGACTCAGCTTGGGTAAGAGCTCAATGTGCCTCAAGGCTTGTAAGCCTCATAAGGCAACTTACAGGGCCATGAAGCCTCCAACCAAGGCCAGAAAGGAAAAGTCCATTCTTGTGATCCATCTCACTAGACCAAGACTCACTCCAGCATAAGAGGATGCAAGGTCACTTAAGAAAACACCAACGCTGTCATCTTGGTAACAAGCATGAACACAGATGAGAAAGAGTCTGTGGGAGGTGGCAAGGGAGTGGCATTTGCACAGAGACCTAAGTCAAATACACAGCAGGAGGGAGGAGAGAATTGCTCCTCAACTACAAGAAATGACTGAAAAGGAATAGAAACTGAAAGATCACAGGAGCAAAATCAAAGCAGAATGAAAACAGGAGGCCTCCTGCCCCCACACCCTAGCTCCAGCCCAGGGCACTTGAGAAGAACTGTGACACCCATCACAAGTTTTGCTTTGTATGAACTACATCTGTTTATTATTATAGCCACCAACAAAACTGCTGCGAAATACTTCCCATGGATGATTGCACTTTTAATAGTACATATAACAGATTATCTAGAATGATCAGTTTTGTAATGACCACAAGAAACGTTTTATGTAAAAAACTGAAGAGTAGAAAATAGTCATCCAAAATGCCTGTAATTCTGCTATCACCCCCTGCAAATATCCACACACCACAGACAACATATTAGTGAGAAAGTTTCAAGCTTGGAATGAAGCAACATTGATGAGAGAATATAAATGGAAAAAGATTTCTTCTTGCTTTTTTTTCTTATGCACTGCTTTGGATGTACACATTGTCAGGCCTTCGAGCTTTGTTTAATTATTTAGCGCAGGGGACTGTAATCTTCTAAGTGTTTATGTGTCCATGTGAGAATGTGAACACACAGCAAAATTCAGTAGCTACACAAACTAGTTAATAGGACTTTTAAACTACTGTACTATTCCTCAGCTTCTACGGTTTCACTTTCTCATTCCTTAAAATTCAGTAAATCCAATACCAAACCATGAAGCAATTCTGTACCTGCTTCAATAAATAACATTAGATTAAGGATAAGAAGAATGACACAGGATGGTACTACCAAGGAGAGCTGTGCAGCGCCATATATTTTATCCATCCTACTGGAAAAAGTATTGTTTTACTTGGAACAGTACTGTCTAGCAACAGTAGGCCCTCAGAGTGGAAACTGGAGGATGCCATTACTGTATTTGTGACCTGTGTGAGGGCTGCACAGATCTGCTGTTTTTTATCTCCCCCAAGTGGTCAAGCGAGTTTCTAAGTCCACTTTAGAGAAGCAGCTTCCTCCCTCTCTAGAGCATCTTCTGCAGTCAGATGAAAAGGCTAGTGGTGGACTAGGAAAACTTTAAAGCTGAACAAAAATTCATTAAGAGAGTAGAAAGCACAGGAAACGCCTTGTCTCAAAAGTAACTCAGTTACTCCACAAATTACCATATAACCTCTAAATTCAGTTCCTAACTCCCTTTCCAGCATACAAGTGACTAAACTACAACTTGAAATAGTACCCATGATTGACAGTTTACAAGCGGGTTTAATCATCTTGACACAGATTTACTAATAATTTATAATCCAATTTGTCTTTGAAACAACTAATATTTCAAGCACCTGACATCAGAGGTATCCGAACTAGTATAATCTCATTGCAATTAATAGCCTCAAACCATTCAATTGCAATCGATCACTACTTCTCAAACAGCACTGATTAGTTACTTTCCATTTTTCTTTAATGTCTCCTGTAAATTATAGCAAATAAGCAGATAGCCTTTACCCTTTTAGTTATATGTATGTTTAAAAAGTAGTGAAAAGCGTATGAAAAGCGAGGAGGAAATCCTTACTGCTATTTTAGCTATACTCTAAATCTGTTACAAACATTAATGTGTCTGTAGGCCAGTTTAGACAGGATATAAATGACTGTCCTCCACTTCGGTCTTTTCTTCAATCATTAAAGTTTACTTAATATTCATGAAAAATACTTTCTATCCCTGGAAGCTAAAAGCCTCTCTTTATTCACAGAACAATTACACCTCCGGCTGCATCATAAATTACCTACATTTTCAGAACAACATACTTATAACCTTATCTGGAGGACCATTATGAGAGAAGAGATTTGTTTTCATGCCTAATAATTAGTAAAAATTCTTTGTAGTTTAAGTTATAAAGAGTGCTCTTTATTTATGGCTGTCAAATATTACCAGGACCACGAGGAAATCTTTCAAAGTCAGTGAAAAATTTGAAATAGGGAATTTCCGCTGGTATTTCTGCTTACTGCTCACACACACTGAATTTCCCAAGAGATATATATGCAATTTCGTGATTGATCATCCCAAAGAAAGGTCTAGCTGGAGGCAGCTGGCTTGGGCTGGGAAAAAGCAGTCACCAAACAGGCATCTTTCTCATTATGACAGGCAAGGGTGGCATCGAAGGTGATAGTAAAACACTTTTCTTGCCTTGTCAAAGTTGTCCCCGCAACTGGGATGAAACATACACAGCTTTCAACAAACTGAAATTCAAAAGTGCATCTTAACTTCTACTTCCATTGAAGAAAAAAAAAAAAAAAAAAGCAGAATTTTGTGGAAATTACTTATGAATTACAACTTTGGCTTCAGGTGTAACCCTATGGACCCATTGCTGTTTTACGACCACAACTTTATTTTTGATTTCTACTGGCAAGTGCTGGATTCTACAATAGCTAAAACTAAGGAGCTGTTTTAGTCAAATTCCCATTCTCACCCTGCAAAATTTTTCAGAAACATTCACGATGTTGATTGAAATTCCAGTGTCTATTCTCAAAGCAGTATCTTCTCCCGTGAAGTGAAAGCAAGATCCTTCCTAGATCCAGTGGAGAATACAGTAAAGACCCATAAATAAAAACGTCCTTTTGATTTAAAAAATGTTTTAAATATTTTGATCTTAAGAAATGTGGCTAAAGCAAACTTGCTTAACATCTGAAAGCTGACACGAATAGAAATGTCTACTAAGAACTATTTAAATGTCACTTTATATATCAAAAATAATCTGTAGTACATGTAACAGAGAGCAGTGATAGGATTACTTTTAAGAGGGAAAAATGGAAATTTCAGGTTTGACAAGCATACACCATGATCAAATTAAAAACTGATTTTCTGCTTTGCATAATTTACATATACAGAATTTGCTTTTTAAACAATATTGGCATTTGGAATTTGTCCATATAACTATTAAAATATGCACCATTACAATAACATTATCCTTAGATCTTTGCAGGAGTTGTAGTTTCTTTGTAACCAGTTCCTGTGTAAAAGAACTGAGTGCACAGGTAAAATAACAAAATAAAAAAAAAAGTTCTTAATACACTACTGCTAAGAGTAGCTTTTAGATCTGTAAACTAAATAAGTCACTGCTGATGCTTGTTAATACGGTAGCAGAAAATAGTATTAGCACTAGCAACTCCGAATAGGTTTGCAGCAATTCCAACCTACGTCAACTGTCCTTCCTGGCCTTCAACCTTAAGAAAAGCCAAAACTGAGCAGCAATGGTCAAATATGAACAACCATGGATCTCACGTTATTCTCACTGCTTACAAGATGAGCAACAGCTGCCCTTTGTGTATCAGATACACGAAAGAAAGACTGACCTAATTTTTAACCAGCTGCATGCCCCAGTATGCAGCGTACAGGTGACTTCGTGTCCACCATACAAGGAATACTGTGTCATGGAACTGACTGCATAAACCGTAAGGTAAGTGGCTTTTTAATGTTATTATATTGCGCATTTCTCCTACAGAAGTTTTACAGTGTATCTGTATACTGCCTGTGTGTAACTTAAAAACTGTGCAATATAATAAAGAAAAATGCCACTTACCTGACTTTCCATAATTTGGTCTACAAGAATTCAGAGTCTCACTAGTATGCTAAATATTGGGATGTCATAGTAGAGCAAAGAGTCAGTCTTTTGAGAACGAAGGATGTCATGTACCCTAAAAAAAAATTACAAAGGTTTTTTGCTTCTCTAAAGTAAAAAGTAGACTATATTAATTTTCCTGCTAAACCAATCATTTCAATTTTCCTTCCAATGAAACAAAAGGCGGTTCTGCCACTCAACATACCATTTCTATATTCCTTCAAAAGAGATCCACTGATTTTTCCTAAATGTTACCTAAATGTGGTTTCTCTGTTGATAAATAAAGATACCTCCAGTATATACACTACTTTCTAAATCTATTTAATCCGTGTTCAGGGGCAGGAACGAGGGTAAGAAAGTAGGAGGAATTGCACAGCCAGATATAGAAAGTTACTGTCAATAACCAAAACGATTATTTCTAAAACTTAAGAAAATTTACTGCAACTTTATAACACTGCTTAAGTGTTCAATCAGGATTGTACAGTAAGAATAAAAAAACCTCCTGGATTTAGAGAACACACAAGGCCTGTAGGTGTCTTGACACAGAATGGTAAGTAAATTTAATGAAAATATGGCTTATAAAAGGCAGGAAAAAAAAAAAGCCCTAACAAAAGCAAACAAAACCAAAAAACCCTACCAAATTCTAGAAGACTGAAGTGTTCTGTCAATAAAATTTACCGATAAAATTTTGTTTGAAAATTAAATATAACTTACCCTTTACATACACACAATACAAAGAGATTTAGTATAATACTGATAGATAAAATAAAAGATCCTCTTAGTGCAATGAAAGCTGAACTGGCGGGAAAAAGTAGGTTCAATTTTCTGCAGAGTTATAACATACTTTTCTAGTACTCAATAATCAGGCTAGACAGATATCTAATGCCCAAGTCTACAGCACCCTTTGAAAGGTGTAAGAAGCCTCAGGTACAGAACACCGTATGGAGGCAAAATTCAGCTACCTTCTGACTGAGGTCAACTAAAAGCCAGCTTTACACGTGAGATCAGTAAGAAAATGAATAACATTTCTACCCTGATGCTGTCTGCGCAGTAGTGATTGTAAGATACTGTTGATGCTTCCAAAATAACAGTATAGTTTACACTGCTTTAATTTCCTTCTTATTCCCAATATCTCCAATTCAAATAAACAGATCTCTATCATGTAAAACTGGGTTAGTTGTTTTTTTGGGTAGACTACAACAACGTATTTTCCTGTGACTTAACATAGTATTCCAGTTAACATTTCTGGACTCCTGCATGAAGTCCAGTTTTGCAAATATATGTGCCAGTGAAATAACAAAGGCTGAACTTTAGGTTCATATACAATTCTATACAAATTCACACCAGAATTAAGAATATTACTCAGTAATAAACAACCAGAACCCCCCCATTGCCTCTGTAACATCTGGTCAAACTCTCTAGTGCTTTTCAGTGATAATCAGGAAATTCATTACCAATGCTCACAAGTTTTAAGAATAATTTGCTAGGTGTCTATTGCTTATTAGGATTTCTATTCCCAGAAGCTTAATAGGAGCAGAACTCAAAAATGAGGCAGGAAAAAGTAAACTTGAATTTCTTTACAGATTACATACGAACTAAAGCAAACTCTTTAGGACCCTTGAGAACAAATTCAAAACTCACATGAACTTTAAATCGAAACCACTGTAAGCTCTTGTGCTGGTTTCATCTGGGAGAGAGTTCATTTTCTTCATAGTAGCTAGTATGGCACTATGGTTTAGGTTTGTGTTGAAAGCAGCGTTGATAATAAAGGGATGTTTTTTTACAGTGCTTACACAGAGACAAGGCCTTTTCTGCCTCTCATCCCACCAGCGAGTGGGCTGGGGGTGCACAAAATGCTGGGAGTGGACACAGAGCTGACCAAAGGGTTATCCCACACCACCTGGTGTCATCTTCAGCACATAAAGCTGGGGGAAGAAGGAGGAAGGGGGGGATGTTGGCAGTGGTGACGTTTGTCTTCCCAAGTCTCCATTACGTGTGATAGAGCCTGGCTGTCCTGGGTATGGCTGAGCATCTGCCTGCCCAGGGGAAATGGTGAATGAATTATTTGTTTTGCTTTGCTTGTGCATGTGGCTCTTGCTTTACTTATTAAACTGCCTTTATCTCAACTCACGAGTTTTCTCAGTTTTGCCCTTCTGATTCTCTCCCCCAATCCAAATAGGGGAGAGTGAGCAAGAGGTTGTGTGGTGCTTAGTTGTCAGCTGGAGTTAAGCTACGACAGCTCTCTACAGCAAAGCTGAGAATCTAAAGGACATTTCCTGAAAAAAAAATATACTCACAGCACCCAACACCAAAAACTGTCTTCATATTAAGCAAGCCTTAAACCCTGTTTGGCATATATACAACTGAAGAGCTACCTGTTTTAAAAGGGGAGAATCAAAGACAACAGGTAAAGATAAAAAAGATAAATGACATTCTACACTGCTGAAGTTTGTGGCAGAACCAGAACTAAAAGGTGATTTTTCTAAACTTGTGTCCCTTGAAACTAAACACTTGATGATCTCACAGCCTTTAATAGTTTGTTAGATATCCAAAAAAGAAGATGCATGAATACACACAACTTTCCCACTCAGCTACTGGGCAAAGGGTTTACATTATTTTACCCTTGCAAAGTTTCATTAATACTACTTAAATGTTTCCTTACATCTCAGAAGAGACCTTATTTCCAATGTCATGTACTTCCTATTAATCCTTTAGCCATGGCATTGCTCTCCATGCATCCTCTTTTTGGTAACTACCATTTAGTACAGGTTACTGCAGAAACATGTATAATGAATCTAAAGCTGTGTCACAGAAGCATGAATAGACTATGCCAACAACTATTTGTACCACAGGGGAAAAATCTCAAACGGTTTATTAAGAGGCATGTTACAACAGCACCTTTTTGTTGCCATATAGTAAGTGCTCAAAGACAGCTTTGAAAGAAATGTGTTCCCATGAGAAAGGGCTCTACAGCAAACACATAACTCTCTCTTACAATGGCATTGAAAATTCTGGGGAGAAGAGCGCATTATGTGCCTTAGCCATTGTTTTCCAAAAGACTTCTGATGAAAAGAAAGTCTGAGTTTAGCTAATGGTTAAAACAATCAAATACTAGCATGAATAATTTGTAAAGATCTTATAAAAAAACCCCAAATCCCATAAAATACTGAATACAACAACAACAACAAAAAAGCCCTACCATGTATTTTAGATAGATCAGATAACCTGAATCTTCCACAATACTCCTACAAAAAAAAAAAAAAAAAAAAAAAACAAACAAACAAACAAACAAACAAAAAAAAAACAACAAAAAAACCAAACCAAAAAAACTACCATGAAATCACTAAACGTTGTAGGACTATTAAGTATTTTGGACTTAAGATTCTAGGTCTCAAGGCAGCTGTAAGGTGGAACTGTCATGAGGGGGGATTTCCTTTCTCCCTCTGACACAGTCCCTGTGGGCACCAGAACTCCATCTCACAGGAGTCAAGAAAGAGCAGTCAGTCTGCAAAATACAGGTGGTACCGGGATCCTCTTCATCCTTCCCACCTGTGTGTGGTACAGGACTTCTGCATCCCTTGCCCAAGCCCTGGGCTACAGAGACCCTCACTGTCTCCCAGCTGTGGAGTAACTCCTTGCTCCTCCTCCCCCCCGAAAAGTGCTGGAGAGGGTACGTGTGGGACCAGGACAGGAGTGCAGCCTCCAGCAGGGCAGAGGCAGAAACATTTTCAAGGTGGGCTGAGCAGCACCCTGAATTGCAGAGTCACTGCCTCATAACTCTGGTATCATTCAGTGTCACATAAAGTTGGAATTGGTTTGCTGCCTATCTTGGTAGTCTTACCAAGTAACTGTAAGCTTCTTGCATTTTAGTTCAGTTAGTAACAAAAGGTAGAAACGAGCCAAAATACCTGTGTGTCGATACCTACAGCACAGGAGGACAGTCTGCTAACAAGAACAGACTAAATGTTCCTAGAAAACAGAAGCTTAGTGCATTTTCATACCTCTTGTAACAGCAGTGAAATGCTTAATTCTGAATATATAGTACCACAATCCAAACAAATCTTTGAAAAGAGATTTTTCCATTCCTGCCATCCCACCATCTCCTGATGCTTTCACAACCACAGATTTATATATTCAATTATAGTGAATTTTCAAACACACCAATACCTCCAAAACCTGAATCTCAGCTAAAACCCAGTGGAAAATGTTTGCAATAAACATTATTCTAAAAATAGCCCAGTATATCAACATACTACAGCACAGATTTTTACTAAGGGTGTGAGATTTTCTCAATAGGATATTGAAAACAGCATTTCAGCTTCATTTTAGTCACAGTCTCCTGAATGTGATAATAGAGAACAGGGACATTAATGCAAGAAATGTCATCAACTCCTCCTCCTCCTCTCAGGTTTTCTGGCACTCAAAGCGTGTTGTTACCTTACTTGATCTGAAACCAACACAACTGTGACCCGGAGACACAGACTGGTGGAACAGCCAGTTGAATCAGAGCAGATGTGGCTTCATATTTCAGGATGTACAGCCCTGCCTCTTAGAGAAACCTTCTTTTGACCACAAGCTGCTGCTCCTTTCTTTTTTTTTTCCTTTTATTTTAAAACTTGGGTCGAAGAATAATAAGGTTTAAAATCATCTGGAGGTGGATGAGCACATACATGGAGCACCCAAAAGAAAGGAGAGCACAGCAGAGTATCTAAATAAGGACAGACTACCCAGAGTCATTTAAGATATGAGCAGAACTGCAAGAATAATTCCAGTGGAGGTAAAACCTCTGCATTCAGTCTGCTTCACAATGAGCATTGAGTACACAAAAAGCATGTGAAAAGTTTACAGCATTGTTTGCTTTTTACCTTCTGATTGATCCTGAGATTAACAATCATGCCATGAAACCAAAGGTAAAAGTCCAGTTGATGACATGATGCAGGACTTGATAGTCTCCCCATATCAGCTCAAAAATCTAGCATTTCCAAATCAGAAATATCTGCAATTGATTTTTTTTAATATAGGATTATTCCAGAACAGATATTGCTTAAATGGAACTCAGTGACATAGAATTTACAT